AAATTTATTCATGTTCCTATTATTTCGATCCTCGGTTGTGTGCAGGGCCTAAAAGAAACGACGAATGAACATTTGCCCTGAAGAAGAGAAAGGCGATTGGACATCGATGACAGCGCTGTATTACAAATGGTGGAGAAAACCTAGAATATTTATTGAAGGCCCCAAGGGTCCAGAGGTAATTGAAGAATGCTGATATTATCGACAATTGATATAAATTTGCTCATGAATTTGATAATATATGAGTGAAATATTTATTAACATAAATATTTTACTCATATATATTAAATTCATGATTTGTTATTATATAAATGTTCCATAAATAAATATGCATACTTGTAATGCTATAATATTCTATACATTGCTAAAAAATTACAATTTTTTTCTCTGCAGTTAGCAGTATCATCTCTGTTGATAATCAAACTTTGACGATAAGACTGAAATTACAAAAAAAAAATCAAGTATTATTAAATGCATAAATACTACTAAACTAATAAATCATAAAATTAGTACAATATTACCAGTTAACTCTTAATTACTTCAATATTCACAAGAACGCGAACTCCCGTAAGAATGTCGGTCTTTAATAATATCTCGTCGGTGCTCATAACAAGGGTCTTTTTCCTACAAACAAAATCACGACACTATTAATGTATGTGATATTCCATAAAATTACAAAAATTTCTAAAATATAAATACAATTGCATTTCATATTTATTTACTTTCTAACAGGAGAATCATCACATTTATCTCACTCGAAGTCTCCCCAGTAAGCCCCTATTCGGACGGTCGCGTAAGGCCGGCCCTGAAAGCGAGAAGCGTCAACAATCTCCCTCCCCTCTCCAGTCCCCGCCGCCGCAGAGTCAGAAGCACCTGTTGCTCGCCTACCTGTTTTACTCGTTCCACGGCATCGTTCCGTCAGTGCATCGCGCGGCATTAGAGCGAGGGGAACGTATAGCGGGTAGATCCTTTCGCGACGTGAGATTCACACGCGCGCGCAAGTAAACGTGTCGTGAAATTCGTGGAGCGTATGCGGAAAGGATGTTTCGCCGCGGCCGCGCCGGCGTTTCTTGGACCGACAGCTGAGAGACGCGGAGAAATCCGATCCGCTCGTTTCTCTCGTTCCTCGTCGATGCGTCGCCAGCCGAATCTGACGATCGATCCTGTCCGCACGATCCGCGATCTCTGGATTGCGAATCGGCGATCGAATATCGCGAATATTGATCCTTTTCGTCGCCGGTGGTAACTGCGATTCGGTGCCGCATATTACTGTCCGCGACGCACTTCACGTCGCGGCGGAGAAGCATCGCGCAGCATTCGAACATAGCATTCGCTTCAAATCGACTATCCGCGGATTCGCGGATAGAAAAGTCATGATTGACAATTATCCATCGTTTTAATTCTACCTGCGAAGCGGCTTTGAATTTTGGTATTCGACAGTGGTGGAATACGAAGAGAAGACGAGAAGGAAAAAAAAACAAAGTCGAGAAAGATAGGACAGTGAATCGGATAAGTTAATTTCGCTGCTCGCGTTTCGTCCGGGTAGATTGGTTTACGCGCGCGAAACTATGCAATCAAATTGACGACACGACGAAGAAGGAAAAGAAGACAGAAGATAGATAGAGAGAGAGAGAGAGAGAGAGAGAGAGAGAGAGAGAGAGAG